GACTGGGTGCATGAGTGGGTGTGTTCAGCTACTGCTAGTATAATCCCCTGAAGGACAAGTCAATCAAGTAGGTAGCTACGTCAACAGGCAGAGGCTGCAAGAAACCTTTAAACCTTTACCTGTTCCCTTGAAGGACAACCTGAATGATGCAGCTCTCCTGAGGCAGGAGGGTCAAAGGCTTGTTTGGGAAGTCTCTCAAACAATGTGGGATGCTGCAGGCTGTCTGATTCTTTTGGGGAAGGCAACTGCAAGACTTTCCTCTTCTCACAGCTCAGGTGAAAGACTGAGAAGTTCACTGCACTGCCTATTAAGTCTAATATGGTCCCTCACCATGTCAAGATTTTCCAGCATGCAGGCATCCTTGATGTTGCATGGTTCATTCGATCATATTGATCAGTTTAAGTTTATAAGTCAATATTAGTTTGAGCCAGCTCAGTACTTTGAATACAGGTCCAATTAGAAAACAAAATACAAATAATTATTTTTTCTTACATTTCTCATTGAATTGATAAATTTACTTTATGATAGACATGTTATTGGAAAATTATATGAGAACATTATTATGGGAATTGCTTTTGGCCTCACTTTGTTTGTACTGTATATGTTTGTATGTAGAGTATATATATTGTGAGTATTTTTCATTGGATCACTATTTTCATAGTTTAAATAAAGCTTATCAGGTATAATGTATTATTTGCTTAGTCAATTCCAGTCATTAAAATTGCAGTGTTGCAGAGTGTTTCAGTGTTTAAGGTATCTCCAAATTAAAAACAAAAACACTTTGGCTCAAATCACATCATGGGTACACATAGATATCCTACAGTTTGTGTAAAGATCTCTTTTTAAAGAAAAGTGTTAAAATGTACAGAAGGTTGTCATCAGAAACTTCAAGCTCCCTACAAAGGTTTATTTACACAGTCACAAATTCCTATTCTGATAACATTTAATAACGCTCATATAAATTAGGAAATATGTTTATATTGTTATTGTTATTGTTATTTGTCATAGTGCAGTTATTTGGGTGTTGTTATTTATTTGAATTACATAGCTTTTAACAACAGGCAGAAATTATTCAATGTACAATAGGTAATTCATGTTGGGTTTTTTTTTCAAATCTGTTTATCTTCTGAGTATTTACAGTATATACAGTGCCTTGCGAAAGTATTCGGCCCCCTTGAACTTTTCAACCTTTTGCCACATTTCAGGCTTCAAACATAAAGATATAAATTTTTTATTTTATGT